ACAAAGAAATTTCACAAATTATTGGTTATGGGAATTAATCCACAGTTTTAATTTCGATATCTCGGGTGTTTTTCTTTCAAACGGAATGTAAAAGCTATGGCGATCTTGAATGAACGCTGACCCGGCAGAGATAAGACTTCCTAATCACCAACTGTTCCAACCGTAAACTCATTCTTAATTACAGTCTTCTTGCAAATTGGCAGATACGTGTCTGTTAACAAAGGCAAGAGAACAACGACACTGGAACTGCGCAATTGCGAGTCTTTTCCTTCTTTCCGCCCGGAGAACACGTGCGCGAATGTTTCTCGATATAACGGAGAAACTCGTGTTCGTGGTTTACAGTTAGACGACATTGCTTTTTTCGCATATCAGAGTTAATCATCGGCGTTGATTAACTCTGGTACGTGTAAACCGGTATGGATCCTAATATCGGTCGCCGGGAACAGGAAACGCACGATCGGCATACGAAAAACGATTTCAGAATTCTACAGTGCTGTTCAAAAGTATATAGACACTTACTTTTTGACAGAATGTAAGAAAGTCGCAGAACGATTTTTACTCTATCGCAGTCGTCGTAGAATATAAAAAGAAAAAAAGTTACAAACGGATTTTACGAGTGTTAGACCGAACCACCTTTGTCATTTAAGAAGACAATTTTAGAATCTGCTGCTTTCTTAATAATAAAAATAATCAGAGGTATATTAGTCTCTCGTATTCCCTCGATTGATTTTTTGTTTAAATAATAAAGTAGAGCTTTTAAAGAAAAGACTCGAGTCAAATAATGAAAATTGGGAAAAATGATTAAACGGCATAATTACCATATGTTTTAGTAATATTCATATATCGTTGATCGAAATCGACCAAAGTTTCTACATATTTATGAACAGTAGTATACGTCGTGAGTGCCGAGAGTACGAGAGAGCCCATAAATCGACTGGTTGGAGAGTAAGCGGAGTCACCGATAAGCGGAAGTCGCGGTGAATCGACCTTCCCCGTTAGACGCCGCTTATATTTATGATCAACCACTTAAATGAACGTCGCGCCGCACCGATACAATCCGTATGCATATACTGTGTCGTTTGACGATCATGGAAATTGCGTTAATTCGTTCCAAGTAAATATAGAATGATTCTATTCATGAATCATTCTCGCTTGACTCGATCGTAACGTTGTGGTCATGGTAATCGTTCGTTCTACTTAACCCCTGACTCTCGCGTTTTTGAATCGCAGCGAGTTCTCTGAGAATGAACAAAGACGAGAGCAAAGACAAGCGACTACTGATTAAACGCGATCTAAAATCGAATGGAAAGGAGAGATTAATCGGTAGAAGATCACGGATTCGCAAATACGATTCAATGAGTTTCTCAAACTCGTTTGAATCACTTCGATTGGAAAGTGGAACGATTGAGAAACAGACGATGAGACGTTCTTTCTATTATTTGTCACGCATCGCTAATCTCTGAAATCTGAACATTAACGTAGAGACGCATAATTATTTCGACTACCATTCGTGAGTAGATTTGGTAGGTTTCTATTAGTTTTTAATAGTAGTGAATTTTTCCAAATTTTCAAATCAAATGCAAACTAATCCTTTTGCTAAAAAGGTGTATAACGAAATTTCCTGTAAATATCCGATTGAATGATTGCTTGTTATAGAAAAAGAATCTTCTTCGTCTAATTTGTAGTTTGAAAAATCGAGCAATCTACAGGTAAGGAGTTTTTCGAACGAAATACCATTTAGTACCAGAAATTACGATAAAAATCAATTCCATCGCGCTATAGTATTCTATTAGTATTTTTCCATAAACTTGTCAAAGAGAAGCAGTGTGCGGATACATTTTAAACGACAGTGTAACAGAAAGAGAGAGTTTATACTGCAAGTTCCTATTTTCGAAAGCGACGCTGAAAAATATTTTCGCGTTAGGAGAAACGAAAATCACGGTGATTCGAACTTCTTGCAGATAATGTGGGCAACGCAAGCCAAAAAGTACGAGATGGTATACACGTACACACCTCGTCAACTCGAAGAACCACTCGACCATGTCGACGCCTTGAAGGAGGATGGATTAATCATCGATTAGAGGCAAACGATCGGGTTGACTTTGAGTGTAGCTGAAGCTCGTCTCGCCCAATGAATCATACGAACACACCGGACGTCCCAGACATCCGTCCACTGCCTACGAACTTTCTCTGTCTTTATTGACTTTTCATTCGAGTCAATGTTCCATGGTTATCATTTGCATCGATGTTCTACTATGCAGCAGTTATTTTATTCCAACATTCGATAAACAAGCCTCGTAATGCTATACTTATTGATGGTACTCGGTTAATTAGCCTACGTTAAAGAGCAATTATGAACGTAACTACGTAAAAGAGGGATGTGTATTGTTTAACGTTTCACGACGCATAAACAAAGTAATATGTACGTTCAATCTTCGTTAATTTCGTTTGATGCTGTAAACGTTCTGTAATAATAGTATACATGTACACTTTTAGATTGCTTTCAATTTTCACCAATACAATTATGACAGTCGTGTTTACACGATTACAGTGTTTAATGAAATTTCGAAAAACTTTTTTATAACACATACGGTATGAATGTAAAAGAATGAAAACAACAGGCTATAGATCGATAAACGTTTCACGAATGGACAGGATTACCGTGGAAAACCTACAGCGACTGATGAGCCGACCGACTATAGGCACACTTTCAAGGATTTTCTACGAGTACCTTCACGGACTAGTGAGCGTTCCGAGAAGGACGAGAAAATAACGAACACACGACGCTAGATCGTGCGCCGCCACGAATAATTAAACCGTTGTTAGTGCTACTGCTTTCTTCGCCTATCCGCAGCCTGTTTTCTGTACCGTTTGTGTTTAGGAAACGTAACGCGAAAAATATTGTTTTGCTAGGAAAACCAGGACGAGGTTTTTCGAGAGGGCTCGACGGATTCGTTAGCATACATTGTTTCACGGAAGCAGCGAGCCTGTAACTCGCAGAAACAACCTCTTGCAACGAGTCAACCGTTTACTCTCTTATATATGGCCTCGACGCGACGGTGCATTTCATAGCGTTTGTTTTTTTATCCTAATATAAATGCTTCCTCAAATCGATCGGTTGTAACTGAAAGATTTAATCCACTTATGTTCGTTAACTATCGATAACAATGACCAAATCTTCCAGTCCAAATTTCGAGATTTCAAAGTCTCAAATATTGATTCCTTAGATTTCAAATCTGGAATGTAACGTTAGACTGATACGAATATTAATATTTATAATATTTCAACCCATGCTAGATAGCGAATCGAAGAAGAAAATTAGACGTCTCATATTGTGTTATAGAGAGGTATGTTATTATTCCAGAGGTATGTATATATTATATATTATTATATGCATCTTATCCTGATAAATAATTAAACCGAATATCCTATAAATTGTCGGTACGATCGCGAGTATTAACTGTTTAGGTGTATGGTTTGCTCGTAAATCTTCATCGATCCGTCTAACGTCACCCAGCTCATCCTTCTTCCAAAACACAACGAAGATTTTCTTCGCCTGTTTTTTTGGCCGTTATAACTTTGTACGTTTCTTTGTTGCTAATGTCAATTATTATAATATATAATACGATAATACGTTAAGTTGGTTGCATTTTATCGGGGGAATATCGAATAATAAGGATACGAGTTCGCATTAATGTATGCGTTAAAATACACTATATTCACATTAGTAAGGTTTGCATTGTTTGGCCACTCGAAAGCTACCACCCTGCGCGCTTTACAATATGCGCATACGTTAAATATACACAAGCCTCTCCATCAACTTTATTTAAAAAATAAACGTCAACTTCGACTAAATCAAACATTCGACGATCGAAACAATTCTCGACCTACCTTTCGTATTTTACTTCGATAGCTTTTGTCTCAACGATACGAACTAGAAGAAGCATTTGTCTGATCCACAACGAAACGTGTATATCGAAGCAGTGTAAATTCGATACATATAGGTATGTATGTATAGGCATAAACGTGCATATATGACAATCAATCGAAGTAAACGGTACGCGACTGTCACATAAAAATATTACAAACACGTATCATGTACGATTTGCATGCTTAATTACAATTCAGATACAAATGTTTACAACATTTAGTGAATAGCTATAGGCAAGAACGTGATAACTTTTTAGCTCTCAAAGACGTAAAGTAATCCAAACAAACAAAGCTAGAGGGAGGTTGGAATAATCGCGCCATTGAAAACTACAAGACACACGACGGTTACTCCGACTGACTGTCTGTTTTGTTTTTGTTTTTTTTTTTTTACAAAGGTGAGAGAATTTCAACGACTTACCATGGCTCTCGGTGTATACATCAGGTAGAATCGCGAGTAGTACCAAAACCAGCACTAATTTGCACTGCACCGTCGCACCACTGACGGTACATAGCGAATTCGAGCACCAGATATCACTCAACATGTTTCTTGGGCAGCGAATCACAATGCACAATGCTTACGCGAACGTCATGACAACCGGTAATCACGTTTTTGCGTTCCGTGCTCTATCTGCTTTCGTGACGCACACACCACACCGTACTGGCCACCCAACCCGACTGCTCCGTCGGTTTGGACTGTTGCGACACCTCTGACGGAGCTTCGGCCCCCACCTCGTCCGTTTATCGAGCCATCGAAGTTTACGAACGTCTACGAACTTTATCGAACTCGAAGCGCGCCGATTACAGCCGCATTTAAATCGTGTATTACTTTCAGTATGTTTTTCATTGTATTTTTCTCTCCTTTTCCGCTTTAATAATTGTTATTCACGAGTTCTTTCTGTTGACCTCTGCAAATATGAATTGCTAATCAATTAACGGCAAAAATACGCAGAAACTAATAAACTATTATAAATCACAAAAATATAATAAAAGTCGTTTTATCTTCAGTTCAATGATTAAGGTGGAAAAAATGAAAAAAAAGATTCAGTTCTTCGATATGAAATTTCTAAGAAAAGAAAGACATTTCTTTTTATAGATAAAATAATAATCGTGCACTAAGCTTTGAATGTAAAAGGTCGTGTTTGGGATATCGATCAAACTTTAGAAAGCAAACCAATACAGTCGGTCGACGACAACTTAAAATATTAATTCATAAGATCAGTTGTATTTAGATTTTAATCATGGAAAATTTGCGAAGGGAATTAATAAGTAGTATAATGATCGCGTGTCAAGAACGCGAGGTAGACGTGACTGAAGATTTTATTTCCTTTTTGGTATGTATCTTTTATGCGAGAAATTTCAATATTAAGTTAACCTAAATAATTATTAATTTGACACAAGACATGACTTTTTTCCTACATGTTTACAGCTCACTTTGTTTCAATTAAATCCTATATATGAAATTAAGGTAGACGACGAAGAAAATAATGAAAAAATTATTCAAGCGATAGTTGAAAAAATATGCGATCAAGAAAGACCGAGTTTAACGATATTAAAAAGTCAATTATATTTTGCGAAGCACTATCACGATAGAGGTGAAAATAAACTTTGAGAATGCCAAATGATCAATATAGAACAGTGAAATATGTATGTTTAATTTATATAGACGAGACTGTTAAGCGCCATAGGTTGCGATTACATCAAAAAACTGGACCATTAGTGGCGGAAATTTGTCAGACAGAGAAACTTGCGAATAAACAGGAGTCAGAAAAGTTGTACCATAAGATGTTGGTGGTTATTACTTTCTTAAGTGGTCTTGGAAATCCTACTGTATCTTCTGTGCTCAAGTAAGAATATTAAAACACGTTCTCGTGATACTGGTTATTATTAATTGGAGGTAAAAAGTTTACTTTTTTAGGGAAGTATCGGTGGCACTGCAAAGCGTTTTTCAACCTTCGGAATTAGAACAATATGTAAAGATGTCTAAACGTGAGAAGGAAGAACAGCTAATGGAATTAATGTGCATAGTTGCAGGAATACGTTTATTTAATAGAGATAACCAACGCGGAGGCGAAGGCATCGACGATTGTGAGTCCTTGGCGACTAATAGAAAGATTGTTACATTATGGAGAAACAGATCATTAATGTAAAATATCTGTTTAGTGCCAGCTATTTTGCAAAAAGCTACTAAAAAAACGCGCGACTGTATCATGGAATTTTTGGAACGTCTAATGACAAAAATATATAAATTTACTGCAGCCATCGAAAAAATATGTCTCATTAGAAAATTAATACCACTTGGCGTTTATACAATTGAGAATGTAAACTGGGCAACCGAAATGTTAACTGCATGTCGGCAACAAGAAATTTACGTCAGGTGTGTCGTTCAATATTTGTTAATATTAATCTGATAATTTCGAAAGCTAACCTGTTTGTTATAGGAAACTGTTAAGCGATGTAGAGCGAAGCGAAAAAGAGATACAAAATTATATGGAACGTCTCCAAGGACGTCTGTTTAAGCTTCACGATACCGTGAGATATAGGACTGCTATTCCTACTGTTCAAGTATATGTAAGAAATTATATCATACTATACGTCTTTTGCATGATTTTTCATTTTAGAAACATTACTTCTTATCCCTGAATTTTTCAGCCACAATTTATCGACTTAGCAGATATATGGATGGGACTTCAAGATGAGGTGATTATATTAAGTGGCATAAATAACTTTTTCTGGGAACTTCAAACTCTGAGTGCAAAGGTAATTGTTTTATATATATAATTATATATGTATATGAGCTGCAACGAACCAAACATTCAATAGACCGTGAATGCATACAACGAGCCGCTATTGACCGATATGCTGTCTAACGAAGAAGTCCTCACAGATGCTGAAAGACTAGAGCAATCAATGGGTGAACCAATAAGTAATAAGATGAATTGCAAATTAACATTGTAACATTGGTTAGACATAGAAAGCTACAAATTAAATTATAAATTGCTTTTTCAGGGGAATGCGGCGAGTGCACTATCTATCACCCTAATGAAACTAAGGATTTTGAAAATATAAATTTAGAGGTAAAATTATGCGTATGATATACTATGTAAACTAGATATGCTAAATGACAGATTGTAGAAAACAACATTTCCTAGGTTAATAAATTCATCATCAGTTTCTAGGATTTTGCGCGTGGAAGTTCGTTAGTGAACACGGAGCATTGATCCCGGGAAATCCGAATAACGGTATTGTTAAATGGAGAGGAAAATATTACGTATTTTGCTCGATTTTAGCAGCCCAACAATTCGGACAAGATCCTGATAGGTATCTTCGTCAAAGTATAAAAACATAAGTGTATCGAAATAAATAAATGGATAAATAATAAGTTTTCACAGGTACATTTATGAGGCTCTTGATTACATACGCAATCACGTTGAATATGTGTATTTGTTTCAAGTACACGATGATGTTCGAGCTCTACAAACACAAGAAGTGTTAGTATTTAAAATATTTAAAAAGAAACACATTGAAATTATTAAAACATAAATATTAATTAACAAGGTTGTCGGAAGAAGGACCTCAATTAAAAACTTGTCAACATCAAATGGTTCAAACAGATTTGCATATACTTCCACCTTCCATTGACAAAAATTATTCTTCGAATCTTTGGGAACTAAGAAACAGAGCATTGCACTTAGTAAGTACTGTTAATAAACAGTATAAAGGAGAGAGGAAGATTTCATTCTCTTCTTTCTAGGCAACTATAAGCCGATGCACAACACGCAGTACGCAAACATATAAATCCAACTTCCGATACGGTATTTACGTACAAGTAGCTCCGCCCCGAAATAAAGAAGTTCAAACGAGGAGAGATAATTATATGAACACAAAGAAACTCTTAACTTATATCTTTGGCTTGCGGGGGAGGCGCGATGATAATCAACACGTACTATCTTTCTTAGAAGACGAACTCGAACATTTATAGATATGTATTCAATTTTACATTAGTTTAAAGGACGAATTGGATAGGATTGTTCGAGGACATCTACGATAGAATGAAGCTACAAAGGGCACTCTAAAAAAAAATGAAAGCAATATCTTTTAATGATGTTTTCAAATACATTCACGAAATATCAGGGCATAACCTGTACTTTTCTTCATTTAAAAAACAAACTGATATTATAACTTGTTATTCTGTGTACACGTTCATCTTTATCTTCACTGTAGTGTTTTCATTATCAATTGTTTGCAATGATTTCTTTGTGGCTTCCATTAATTTAGGCCAGCATTCATTAATTTATATTCAAAATACACAAATTTTTCCATACAACGAGGTGTAAATATCCACACTAGGGGATTAATTCTATACCTCGCATCATCAACCTATCTTATTCCTACAATTCAACATTGCATAATGCTGCACATACTGTGACTTTTAATATGCATGCATTGTACCTTCACTGAATACATTATTTTACCATTAAATCTTAAGAGTTAGGTCAATTCTTTACACAAAGAAACCTATATTACGACAATAATTATTAATTACATGATAATACAATTAAATTTCGCTTAGTAATAATTTTAGTGTATAATATAACAATTATACAGAAGATGTATACAGAATGTTGATTTTTCGTATTATCTTTCTCTTAATTTTTTCCACACTTTTTTTTTGCCTTACCACATATCATTACTCCTCTCTCTCTCTCTCTTTGTTGACAAAACTGTTTATCTCTCTGTTACATCCATTGCAGAAAAGTAATCAACGTTAAAAATAAAAAGATGAAAATATTGTGTGATAGTCGGGCGGAAATTTTCGATTAAAAGAAAATCCAAATAAATATAAACGCAATAATTGCTATAGTAATCCCTTGTATTTAATTTTCTCCAGATATTGACTGTCACGTAATAAAATAAAAAAGAATTTATTGTTAAAAGAATCTATAGTAGTTCTCGCTACTTCATTTTTACTGCCACACGGCACACCGTATTTTCATACTCGATGAAAGAGACTGTTTACAAGAACCACCAGGTAAACGATAGAACATTAACTTTGAATACATTGACTTAAAACCAGCTTATTGACTATCGGCCATTTTAATGTTTTCCACATTTCGAAATCATCCGCACGTCCATGGTACTGACCCTTTCTTTTTATACCGTTATGTCATTGACCAAATCTACTTGGATTCCTACCTGTGGGTCATCATTTGCATACACATTTTGGGCAGCTTTTAACAATGTTAACGAGCCACATCTTTAATAATGCCCATAAATAAGGATGCTACATTGCGAACATTCAATAAGTCAAAGCAGCTACCATGGACAACAGAATTCATCGGAATGATGTAAACATGGCTAAAGTCTTAAGTCGCAAGAAATATGTGTGTGTTTGTATGTATGTATATTTATGTATGTATCGTGTGAGAAAGATGGAGAGATGCACTTTGCATCCTGGAATACGTTATACAATGTTTATAACCTGTCAGATTTCGTGGTTCAAGGATGATTTAATCTACAAAGTGATTTTTGAGGTACTTCATCATACCAAAAGTTCTAAAACGTTTTACTCCAATTACTTTCAATAATTCGTCATCGCAAATTGCGTATTGCTTATTCTTAGGATCCTATAAAATAAGAAAATGTATTAGAATACTGGAAACAAAGTATGTCATAAAAAAAGACCATACAAGAAGTAACACTTACATAAAGATTTCTTTCTTTGATAATACTCCAGATCTTCTTCACGACTTCGTGTCGAGCCATTTGTTCAGCACCAACAACTGCAGAAAGCTCAGGCGATAGTGTGATAGCACGAGTATAACCACCCTTACCTCCAACCCCTTTACCACCACCACCACCTTTCTTCGCTCCTCCACCTTGGGCTTTCTTAACCTTACCCCAATCTTCATCACTATCACTATCACTACCCTTCTTCTTTCCTTTCTTGCCAGGTTTATCTATCAAAAATATACCAAGTTATAACTATAGAACAATGAACATGTACATATGCAAAATTTTTTGTGATCTACCTACTTTTTTTAGGGGTAGCTTTTGGTTTTTTTGGATTATATTCCTCATCGCTGGCATCATCATCGCTTGCACTCTCTTCATCATCAGAAGATCCTTTTTTACGCTTATTCATTGCTTTCTTTGCAGGACTTCTTTTGGCTGGTTTCTTCTCTTCTTCCTCCTCCTCTTCCTCTGAACCTTCTTCTTCTTCTTCCTCTCCATCTTCGGACTCCTCACTAGCAGTCTTCTTCTTTTTCTTTGCTCCATCTTGTTTTTCTTGCAGACACTCCATAACTAAAGTATCTACTTCCTTTTTCCTATACATAAAGTTGTTACACAATCCACATTAAACACAAAATAAAACTTGCTAATAAAAATATATTTAATTTCAAAGAAAATGTCGAAGGAGGAACGAGGTAGAAACTTAAGAAAACAGTTACACACAGAGATCCTTCTTTTCATTTAGGATACACATAAACTCACACTTGAATTATTTTAATTGCAAGAATGCCTGTGGTATCCAAACAATATATGTATATATTTATGAATTTTAATAAATATCTTTGAAAATTTGATTCCTTTGTTATAAATGCGACTATAATAGACGTATTTATGCTAAATATTGACGATACATTTTAAATGAATTCTTACCTTTCAGTGAGGTCTATGTCAAGTTTTCCTTCAATCTGTAGCCTAACTTTTTTAGCAGACATGGTGGTAAGATCCGCATCCTTAAGGATAGCTAAACATAAAAATGCAAACATTGCATTGTATGTAGAAAATTGTTTCGATAACTCAAATATTCAAAAATATTCATTGCATTGTATGTAGAAAATTGTTTCGATAACTCAAATATTCAAAATTTGATAAAAGATAGGCAAATTTATTTATGCAGACTTTACTTTCAATCTACTTTTTATATTCTGTACATTATTCATGAACAGTTAAGTATATGAAATTTTATAAATATAACAAACAATAATTTTATTAATAAAAGATCAATTATCGTAATACTATTAAATTATTTAAATAACCTAAAAATTTTTAATGTGGCATATTTCATGAAAGTTTGGGTAACGTATTGTAGTTTCCCGCGTCAGAGAGCTAGTAAATATTGAACGAAAATGGCAACCATTCATTGTGCCGGTTGCTGATTCTCTATATCATAGAGAAAAAAAATTTCTGAAAGTTAACTTTATCATGAAAATGTAATAAATCGGTTGTATTTCTAAAACTGCTTTCTTTACATCGGCTGATCGATCGTAGAATACATTGGACCTTGGAATAATGGAAAATAGCTAAAAGGTTCGAGCGTATCGGTGGCGTGATTCACAATTCCGGCGGAAATTTATTAGCAGAAATTTAAGGCGATAAACAGCTAAAGTAAAAGAGATTCAAAATAAGAAAAAAGGCATTAACAAATATCGATGGACATTGTGTCCATTTTGAGGCGGCGGGAAAAGGTAAAAGCTATCGAGTAAATATGACAACGAAATACGTTGTAACAGCAACTATAACAAGCGAGTAAAATTCGAGGAACGAGGCTATATTTGGCCTGGTAAAATAAAAAATAAAAGCAGGATCCGTTGAAATATTCTAGAAAATGAGGGCACGGTCCATGCTGAGATCGCTTTTCACGGTGCAAAAGACGTTGAGACAAGAGAAAGAGCGAGATATGAAGCATGCGATGGCTTCAGGCGCGCGCCACCACAGTCAGACGCGTCATACAGTATACTATAGGATAGAATAGGGAAAGCTATCATTTTCTAGAAAACCAAGGAAGAATCCAAATTTTCCCAAGACATCGAAAAATTTTATAAAAATCTTAATAGTAGATTACACGAAACGGTTCGGAGATGCAATATTCTAATAAAGCTGTACGTAAGTGGAAATACGATGAATCGTGGTTGTAATGGCCGGCGTGGGGCACGCCACTTCGTCACATCGTGCGCGCTAAAGTCGTCACGTCGCAAGAGCAAAGAGCCCGATTTTCTACATATTCCTAGTCGCAAACGTACCAATAACTTGCACCACGAATGATTACTAACTTAGTTTTATCATATTTGTAGATCAGAGTATGGTAAATCAAAGGATATTGCCACTTACCGGTGATTTCTTTACGAAGCTCTTCGTTCGAAATATCAGCCATGGTAAACCTTCTCGCTGTGCGTACTGCTGCCAACTGAACCTATGCCGGCTGCGGACTCCCGTAGCGTCCGTTGGTACAGTCACCCTATACAGTGAGTCGAAAATTCGTTACCTTTGCAAAGCTTCAAAAACAGATATCTCGGCAGGGATACGTTAAAAACGAATACTATATACACCAAATCGTGTTAGTTTTTTGCGAGCTACAAGTTTCTCATGACGCCCCACTCGTAATTTTGCGATCGAATGATCCTATTTTGACATTCCGCCAATACGTTTGTAAAAACATTTTGGTTGTAACTGTACTTCAAGCGACCGCTCGTGGCTGCCGGTGGCGTCTACAGTACAGTCGACTCGTATACCTAGTACTATTTCACTTCCAGAAAATATATTCTCAATAACCTATAACAGTGCTACCTGACATTTTGGGAAGATATTATGTATATCAAACTGGGTCAATTTTTTTCTCTTCATAATTTCTTATAACACCCAATGGCTAATAATGTATATAATTTAATAGACCGAAATATGATTTTTCTCAATCCTTCGGACTGTTTTATCGAAATGGACTGTACAAAGCGACCACTTCGAGATTCATAGCGTCAGGCATATAGTCGCATCATATGACAATCAGTATACATTCTACCGATATGTCATAAAAACTAGTAGTTCAATGAATATCAGTTGCGATTCCAGTTTCATTAAGCTAAACTAAATATGAACAATGGCTGTTGTAAATGGAAATTTATTTTTTTTTGCATATTTCGTATCATCTATATCGTGAACTTCATTATCTTTATCTATAACAATACTAACATTTTGTTTACGAAACAAGAAATTTTATATATTGATATATTTAACGATATGAAGTGATCTGTACTATATTACATATATAATAAGTTTATATAACAAATGTGTATTTATCATCTCTAAAAATTGATACATTCACGTGTAATTGCATCCAATCAGTGCGATATTTTAATAGGCCGCGACTGTCGAAGCGACCACTCGGTTTCTTCCTCGCTTTAGTGGTACAGTAACTACCAATACGTTCGAAAGGATGCATGGAATAAATGATCTTGGAAAATTCATAACTTTAAAACCGTTGATCCTAGAAGGACGTTGTATTTACAAAATCGTATCAGTTTTTTACGAGGAAAATATTTCTTAG